TCTTTTGCAATGTGCGATTTAAGAGTTTATGCGCGTTCAGTCCAGCATTGTTTCTCAAGATTTGCACACAAACACGTGGATGGAAACATGGCTAATGTGCCGTTGGCTTAATGGTTTATATTGTAGTGTTGTAGTGTTGTCTCTGAGTGTGTTGTCTCTGAGTGTGTTGTCTCTGAGTGTGTTGTCTTGTGGTCAGGCTGCGGTCGCGTCTCTGAGCGCAGAACTGCAGGAGCTGCGCTGTGAGCTTCAGGACGCCGGCGGTGCACACGCGCGAGAGCTGCGCAGACGGCAGGAGGACTGCGCAGACCTGCAGACGCGAGCCGACACGGCGCTCCGAGAGGTCAGTTAACCAGAACAGCACACCGCCACAGTACAATGAGTTACTGCTATTAAAGGTGCAGTGTGTAAGTTTAGCGCATCTAGACTAGTGGTGAGGTTGTGAATCGCACCCACCGTTCAGGGCCACCGTAGAAACATGTAGGTGTAACGGACCCGCGGTGTGTGTAGAAACATGTGGATGTAAGCGGACCCGCGGTGTGTGTAGAAACATGTGGATGTAAGCGGACCCGCGGTGTGTGTAGAAACATGTGGATGTAAGCGGACCCGCGGTGTGTGTAGAGAGAAATGCTCATGCTAAGCTAATAAACACACAACGGGTCATTATGTAGGCTCTTTATACACCACTGAACACAGTTATGTTTATGATATTGCATTTCTGTCAACAGATCCTCCTGAATATCACACACTGCACCTTTAACCTGTGTTTCCCCTCGTGTAGTTGGAGGAGTGTCGCGCGCTGCTGTCGTCCAGCGAGGAGAGCCGGGACAGTGCCAGGAGAGATCTTCTGGAGATGGATAAACGCTTGTGCCAGATACGGGAGGCGGGGGAGGGGCTTAGGCGAGAGGGGGCGGAGCTACGGCGCTCTCTTAGTGATGTCACCAAGGAGAGGGACGCTCTCAGCCAATCAAACGCGCAGCTGAGGGAAGCACTGAGAGCGGCGGAGAGCGAGAGAATCAGGTGACGGACGAAGACTTTAACCCTCTGGTGTCTCGAAATAAAAAAATATGTCAATTAAATTAATGTACTATATTTTAGTTCGATAATGTTTTTTATTTAATATTTTGGATTTTATGGTACTACATTACATTTACGCTGTATTTATAATAATTTATTCACTTTTTGAGCATAGACCTGAAAATTACTTTTCCAACTTAAACTGGTAAATCTCGAACGCTTTGAGGAGAGATCAAACTTCAGTCTGTCCTCTAGAGACGACACTCGGCAGATTATTGCTGGAGTGACAAAAGTTTTTAAAAGTTACAGAATTTTACGTTTATTGTCATGAACATTTTTTATATGAAATATATTTCCAAAAACACATTTTACTCTAAAACTGCGATAAAATCAAAGCCGTAACTCTACACCGGTGGTGTTCCGCATGTGAGCTGATCTCTCAGTAAACGAGCGTTCAGTGAGAGTGTGTTCGGCTGCAGTTCCACACGCTTCCACTAGAGGAAACTCTACATTCGTTTCCAGTGCGTCATGAGGAGCACAAGTGTGACTGTTGTTATCGAATGTAACATTTTTCAGTCAAAATTACTATTTAGAACAGTATGCAAATGACCATGCAGATGAGGCTCTTTCCGCAGTGCTGATTGGAGGGCCTGTGCTTTGTGTTCAGCGTGAAGCGTGTGTGTGAGGAGAAGGAGCAGAGGGCGTGTCTGCTGGAGGAGAGCCTGGCGTCTGCGCAGACGGAGGTGTCCGATCTGCGCTCGTGTCTGCGTGAGGTGGAGCGATCCCGACTGGAGGCGCGCAGGGAACTGCAGGAGCTGCGCAGACAGGTCAGACTGAGGCCAACTCGCGAGCGCTGAGAGCATAGACTGTATAACATATGTGCGTAGTGTGTGTGACGTCACCCGTAGTGTTTCTGAAGCCCAAAGTGGGCGGAGCCGGCCGTCGCCGTCTTGGCCGCGCGTCACTCCCGGATAAACGAACATGTGCGGCGAGGGGGATTAGCTGAGGTGACGTGACGCTAACGCTAGCAGACAAACAGCTAGCAGTGACATCAGCGGCTATCCACCTGTCACTCAAGTGGCCACGCCCTTAATTATGCAGAACTTTAAGGCTTAATATAATTTAAACGTATGAGTTATAAAAACATCCCCCCTCACAGTCGTCATGAAGGGCAACATTAGCGATATAGAGCAAAACCACTTTTAGCTCCAGACTGTAAACATGTGTTTTTCTGCTGTAAAGTTGGGCATTTTAACATGCGGGTCTATGGGACTGAGTCTCTTCTGCAGCCGGCCTCTAGTGGCCAGTGGAGGAACTGCAGGTTAAGGCACTCCGTGTTGAGAGAGAGAGAGAGAGAGAGGAAGGCTGCTGGTTGGTTGAAAGTAAGGATGAAGAGCTGTGGTTTGACGTGTATGACTCTGTGCTGTCAGGTGAAAGTCGTGGATGCCGAGCGCGAGCAGACGGCTAAGCAGACGACCGATCTGCAGATGCGTTTATCCGCGGAGGAGCAGAAGGACGAGGAGCGAGCGAGAGAACTGATCTCGCTCAAACAGAGACTCGCCGAGACAGAAACTAGCAGAAACTCTCTTCAGAAAGAGGTGAGATCTCATACAAGTAATTACAGATTTAAAGGGATAGTTCACCCAAAAATTAGCCCATGATTTACTCTCCCTCAAGCAATCCTAGGTGTGTATGACACTCTTCTGTCTGACGAACACAATCAGACTTATATTATAAAAATGTCCTGGCTCTTCCAAGCTTTATAATGGCAGTGGATGGCTGTTTCTGTTTAGATGTCCATAAAAGTGCATCTGTCCATCATAAAAGTGCATCTGTCCATCATAAAAGTGCATCTGTCCATCATAAAAGTGCATCTGTCCATCATAAAAGTGCATCTATACATCATAAAAGTGCATCTATCCATCATAAAAGTACATCTGTCCATCATAAAAGTGCATCTGTCCATCATAAAAGTGCATCTATACATCATAAAAGTGCATCTGTCCATCATAAAAGTGCATCTGTCCATCATAAAAGTGCATCTGTCCATCATAAAAGTACATCTGTCCATCATAAAAGTGCATCTATACATCATAAAAGTGCATCTGTCCATCATAAAAGTGCATCTGTCCATCATAAAAGTGCATCTGTCCATCATAAAACTGCATCTGTGGACATCTAAACAGAAACAGCCATCCACTGCCATTATAAAGCTTGGAAGAGCCAGGACATTTTTATAATATAACTCCGATTGTGTTCGTCTGACAGAAGAGTGTCATATACACCTAGGATTGCTTGAGGGAGAGTAAATCATGGGCTAATTTTTGGGTGAACTGTCCCTTTAAGTTAGATTAACTTAAAATGGTGCCTCACCCGGCCTGTCTGTCTCCAGCTGTCTTCTCTACAGAGGCGTGTGAGCGAGAGCGAGTTGTGCTGGCGCAGTCGCGAGCGCGAGTTAACGTCTCAGCTACAGGACGCTCGCGGCTGTGAGAAGAAGCTTCAGGACGAGGCACGTAACCTCTCCGTCCGCGCGCAGTCGACCTCGGATGCGTCTGCGCAGATGCAGCTGCAGCTGAGTGATGCGCAGGGCCGCCTGGCTGCGACGGAGGCGGAGCTATCGCGAGCGGAGGCGGGGCGCAGGGATCTGGAGTTCAGGATGAGCAGTCTGCAGTCGGCACTCACGCGCACACTGGGCATCGGGGCCAGTGGGCGGAGCAGCAGCAGGGGGCGGAGCCCGGCAGGCTCCTCCCCTTCCTCTCTGAGCTCAGGGATGATGTCTCGCCATAGGAGCGTGTCTCCGCTGCACTGCTCGCTGTCGCCACCCAAAGGTCAGATTTGCTTGCTAAATAAAGTTGTGTTTGAGTTCTACTTTATCTCAACCCTTTCTCTGCTGTCTTCCAGATGTGGCAGGTCACGTGACTCCTGATAACAGCATCATGCTGAGGCCGGTGTCTCCAGAGAGGACCGACGCCCCGCTGCCCGTCGCCCTGCCGGAGCTCGACCCCGAAGCCCTGCGCAGCGGCCTCAGAGACTTCCTACAGGAGCTGCGCGAGGCTCAGCGAGACCGAGTAATGCTACTAATGCCACAGCTACAACGATTACCACAACTAGAACGACAAGTAGAACTATTACCACAACAAGAACTATTACGACAACCACAACTATTACGACAACTAGAACTATTATGATAACTAGAACTATTATGACAACTAGAACTATTACGACAGCTAGAACTATTACCACAACTATTAGAACTATTACGACAACTAGAACTATTATTATAACTAGAACTATTACGATAACTAGAACCATTACGACAACCACAACTATTACGACAACTAGAACTATTACGACAACTAGAACCATTACGACAACTAGAACTATTACGAAAACTAGAACTATTGCGATAACTAGAACTATTACGACAACTAGAACTATTACCACAACTATTAGAACTATTACGACAACTAGAACCATTACGACAACCACAACTATTACGACAACTAGAACTATTACGATAACTAGAACCATTACGACAACTAGAACTATTACGACAACTAGAACTATTACGATAACTAGAACCATTACGACAACCACAACTATTACGACAACTAGAACTATTACGATAACTAGAACCATTACGACAACTAGAACTATTACGAAAACTAGAACTATTGCGATAACTAGAACTATTACCACAACTAGAACGACAAGTAGAACTATTACCACAACTATTAGAACTATAACGACAACTAGAACTATTACGACAACCACAACTATTACGACAACTAGAACTATTATGACAACTAGAACTATTACGACAGCTAGAACTATTACCACAACTGTTAGAACTATTACGACAACTAGAACTATTATGATAACTAGAACTATTACGACAACTAGAACTATTATGATAACTAGAACTATTACGACAACCACAACTATTATGATAACTAGAACTATTACGACAACCACAACTATTATGATAACTAGAACTATTACGACAACTAGAACTATTATGACAACTAGAACTATTACCACAACTAGAACTATTATGATAACTAGAACTATTACGATAACTAGAACTATTACCACAACTATTAGAACTATTACGACAACTAGAACTATTATGATAACTAGAACTATTACGATAACTAGAACTATTACGACAACCACAACTATTACGACAACTAGAACTATTACGATAACTAGAACCATTACGACAACTAGAACTATTGCGATAACTAGAACTATTACGATAACTAGAACCATTACGACAACTAGAACTATTGCGATAACTAGAACTATTACTACAACTAGAACTATTGCGATAACTAGAACTATTACGACAACTAGAACTATTACGACAACTAGAACTATTACGATAACTAGAACCATTACGACAACTAGAACTATTGCGATAACTAGAACTATTACGACAACTAGAACTATTACGACAACTAGAACTATTACGATAACTAGAACTATTGCGACAACCAGAACTATTACGATAACTAGAACTATTGCGACAACTAGAACTATTACGACAACTAGAACTATTACGATAACTAGAACCATTATGATAACTAGAACCATTACGACAACTAGAACTATTGCGATAACTAGAACTATTGCGATAACTAGAACTATTACGATAACTAGAACTATTACGACAACCACAACTATTACGACAACTAGAACTATTACCATAACTAGAACCATTACGACAACTAGAACTATTGCGATAACTAGAACTATTACGATAACTAGAACCATTACGACAACTAAAACTATTGCGATAACTAGAACTATTACTACAACTAGAACTATTGCGATAATTAGAACTATTACTACAACTAGAACTATTACGACAACTAGAACTATTACGACAACTAGAACTATTACGATAACTAGAACCATTACGACAACTAGAACTATTGCGATAACTAGAACTATTACTACAACTAGAACTATTACGACAACTAGAACTATTACGATAACTAGAACCATTTCGACAACTAGAACTATTGCGACAACCAGAACTATTACGATAACTAGAACTATTGCGACAACTAGAACTATTACGACAACTAGAACTATTACGATAACTAGAACCATTGCGATAACTAGAACCATTACGACAACTAGAACTATTGCGATAACTAGAACTATTGCGATAACTAGAACTATTACGATAACTAGAACCATTACGATAACTAGAACCATTACGACAACTAGAACTATTGCGATAACTAGAACTATTACGACAACTAGAACTATTACGACAACCAGAACTATTACGACAACTAGAACTATTGCGACAACTAGAACTATTGCGATAACTAGAACTATTACGATAACTAGAACCATTACGATAACTAGAACCATTACGACAACTAGAACTATTGCGATAACTAGAACTATTGCGATAACTAGAACTATTACGACAACCAGAACTATTGCGATAACTAGAACTATTATGATGATAAACTATAACCATAACAATAACTATAACATTAAGTACAAGTCTAACTACATTATGATAATAATAACTGTAGCTATTACAATAACTAAAGCTATTATAACTATAACAATATCTATAACTGTGACGATAACTATAGATATTTTGATAACCATAACTATCGCGATAACTAAAACTATAACAACTATTTTGATAATGATAGCTATTACGATAGATATAACTGTTCCGATAACTATAATAACTATAACTATTGTAAAATCAATAACGATTAAGATGACTGTAACAATAACTACATTGTCATCCACAACAGCGCACAGTATCGCTCTGATTATTATAAGTGCTGCAGTTTTGTCGTCTGTCACTTTAAATGCTCGAGCTCTTTAAAGCAGGATGGATTCTGATTGGCTGTCATTATTTGAATCGTTCATCAGCTGAAAAAAATCACTGAAAGTGATTCAAACGATATTGTTCCTCTGTGTAGTTATCGTTACAGTTGTGGTGTGGACTTTGCTATTCTTAGATTTAAGGTGATTATTAAAATTATGGTTATAGATATAGTTGTATTTTAGGCTCCACCCACTGTAAAATCTCATTGGTCTAAAATCCTGCTCCACCGAACATTAACATCAAACATCTGATTGGCTGTGATGGTGTTGTTGTAAAGTGAGCGTGTGATTTATGTGCGCAGGTCGAGGCGCGCGGTCAACTGGGGTCACTGCAGAGGGAACTACAGGAAGTGACCTCAGAGAGAGACTCCGCCCACCAGCGCCTCATTCAGCTGCACAACACACTACAGGAGTGCCAGGAGGGTAACACACATCTAACTACCATCCTTTCCATGTCAAGCTAATTGTAATGACGACACGTGAACTTTCAAATAAGAATTTGCTTAATGAACTGTTTTCCTCATGCGATTGGCAAGGTTCGCCAGATTCGCTCACTTCTGGAGTGGTGTGTTGATTGTGTGTGTAGATAAGCGTGGCGTGGATGGAAAGCTGTCGTCGGCTCAAGCTCTGCTGCATGAGCAGGACGAGTCCCTGCGGAGAGGAGAGAGAGAGCGGCGAGCGCTAAACGAGCGAATCGCCGAGCTGGAGCGGCTGTCCCTGAGCGCCGAGGCCGAGCGCACGCGCGTGGAGGTCAGAAGTCTTGTGGATCTCAGGCCTCGTTTACACTCAGCCAAACGTGGCCCAGGTCCGATGTCTAGCTCGTGTGTGACGCGGATCGGGTGTGTTCTATGACCGCGTGATCAGGAGAAAAACACACGCATTCGGATATTTCGAGATCGGCTTCAGGCCTCGTTCATATGTGGAAGTAAATCAGATATAAGTCAGATATGTGCCCGTGCGACTCAAGTAAACAGGCCGATCTAGTTACTGAGGCGTTAGGCTACATATACATTAGGCGTATAAATAGCACAATATAAATATATTCGTGCTATAGATACGCACTTTCATGAGATCATGTATGTTCCCACCAGTCCTGAGATCTCTAAACACAGTAACTGAAGCGTATGCGCAGGCTCAATGATGGCCCTTTACGTCCTCCGCCCAAAGTCATGCTGATGTTTAGCGAACTAGCATATATCGCAGAGCTAGCATCAAGCATATTCCCCGTTCGTCCATCTGTGCAAGAACCCCCTTTAAGCATGCGCGATGTTTCAGATCTATGTCAAGTGTAAACATGAATCGGATTTGGGTCACAATTGAAAGAACGTGTAAACGGACGGTCAAAATATCGTATATAGGCAGCAAATCAGAACTGGGCATCGAGACCTGCGGTGTAAACGAGGCCTACGGTAGCGTGGTTCAGGAGGGCTGTGAGTGACTCGCGTCGCCCCCTGCAGGAGCAGTGCAGCCAGCTGCGCGCGGGAGAGGCGCGTGTGGAGGCGGAGCGGCGGCGGCTGCGCGAGGCGCTGGAGGAGGCGGAGGGCCGGGGCACACGGGTGGAGCTGGGGAGGCGGAGCCTGGAGGGAGAGCTGCAGAGACTGAGGCTGAGTCTGACGGAGAGAGAGATGGAGATCCAGGCGGCTCACGACCGCCACGAGAGCGCCGCCAAACAGGTGCCGAACGCTGTGCCGCCGCTGGCCTAGCAGTGATGCTTCCTGAGCCGCTGGTGCTCTGCGGACATTTCTGACTGTAACGGTTTACATTAGTTTTTGTTTTTTTTCTACGAAAACGAAACTTGGTAAAGGTTTTGGCACTTGCTGATGTGAACAGGTTTAATAGTGTTTAACTTGTGCTTCTCGCCGTCAGAAATGACGCACTGGAAACGAATGGAGAGTTTCCTCTAGTGGAAGCGTGTGGAACTGCAGCCGAACACACTCTCACTGAACGCTCGTTTACTGAGAGATCAGACTCACATTTTTAACACAACTTGTTTAGATTTATGGATTTGATTTTCTCACAGTTTTAGAGTAAAATAGTATTTTTGCACATTTTTCATAACAATAAACCCAAAATTCTGTAACTTTTTCTAAGTTCACTTTTTAAAACTTTTTCACCTCAGCAATAATCTGTCAAGTGTCGTCTTTGAAAAAAGATCAACGACAGTTTTAAGTTGGAAATTTAATTTTCTGATCAAGTCAGCTTTATTTATACAGCGCTTACAGTGACGCACACAGAGTGTGTCAGAGCAGCTTTACAGAGATAACAGGAAAATAATGCAACAAAGTTTGTTTCCTGAAGAAAATAGCGTCACAGTCCAGCATCTATGCTGAAAAAGTGAATTAATGGATTATAAATACAGCGTAAATATAATTTAGTACCATAAATCCGCTAAAAGTGCTAAATATTAAATAAAAAACATTACCGAACTAAAATATAGTACATTCATTTCATTAAAATAAATAAATACATTTGGGTCATTTTTGACCGACACGCGGAGAGCACCAGAGGGTTATGAAGCATCCAGCTATGAGGCGCGTCACGAGCTCGACGAGCGTAACGATGTTGGCTTGTGCGCTCAGGTGTCGGAGGCCGAGGCCCGCGCGGCGAGTCTCCAGCGGGAGGTGGACAGGCTGACGGCGCTGCTGGCCAAAGCTCAGGACGGGGAGGGCGATCAGAGAGAGCGAGCGCTGGCTCTCTCCCAGAGTCTGCAGGAAGCCTCCGCTGCCCACAGCGCCACCCAGGGGCGTCTGACGGCCCTGCAGAAAACACTGGGCCAGGCGGAGGGCGAGCGCAGGCAGACGCAGGTGAGAGAGAGAGAGACGGGTGAGAGAGAGAGATGCAGGTGAGAGAGAGAGAGAGAGAGAGAGAGAGAGAGATGGGTGAGAGAGAGATGCAAGTGAGAGTGAGAGAAAAAGAGATTGGGCAGTGGATGACGCTGTGGTGTGTGTGTGTGTGTGTGTGTGTGCAGGAGCGTGTGGACGGGCTGCGCGCGGCGCTGTCGGACGGGAAGCGGAGCGTGGGTCTCCTCACGGAGCGCGTGCACACACTGCAGTCGGAGCTGAGCCAGAGTCAGCTGATCCGGGCGGAGCTGGAGGCGGCGCTGCTCAACACACAGGAGGTACAGCTCTAACCCAAACACAGCTCATCAGCGCGGCTCTAACCCAAACACAGCTCTAACCCAAACACAGCTCATCAGTGCGGCTCTAACCCAAACACAGCTCATCAGTGCAGCTCTAACCCAAACACAGCTCATCAGCGCGGCTCTAACCCAAACACAGCTCATCAGTGCGGCTCTAACCCCAACACAGCTCATCAGTGCTGCTCTAACCCAAACACAGCTCATCAGTGCTGCTCTAACCCAAACACAGCTCATCAGTGCTGCTCTAACCCAAACACAGCTCATCAGTGCAGCTCTAACCCAAACACAGCTCATCAGTGCGGCTCTAACCCAAACACAGCTCATCAGTGCAGCTCTAACCCAAACACAGCTCATCAGCGCGGCTCTAACCCCAACACAGCTCATCAGTGCTGCTCTAACCCAAACACAGCTCATCAGTGCTGCTCTAACCCAAACACAGCTCATCAGTGCAGCTCTAACCCAAACACAGCTCATCAGTGCGGCTCTAACCCAAACACAGCTCATCAGTGCAGCTCTAACCCAAACACAGCTCATCAGCGCGGCTCTAACCCAAACACAGCTCATCAGCGCGGCTCTAACCCAAACACAGCTCATCAGTGCGGCTCTAACCCAAACACAGCTCTAACCCAAACACAGCTCTAACCCAAACACAGCTCATCAGTGCAGCTCTAACCCAAACACAGCTCATCAGCGCGGCTCTAACCCAAACACAGCTCATCAGCGCGGCTCTAACCCAAACACAGCTCATCAGCGCAGCTCTAACCCAAACACAGCTCATCAGTGCGGCTCTAACCCAAACACAGCTCATCAGTGCGGCTCTAACCCAAACACAGCTCATCAGCGCGGCTCTAACCCAAACACAGCTCATCAGTGCGGCTCTAACCCAAACACAGCTCATCAGTGCGGCTCTAACCCAAACACAGCTCATCAGTGCGGCTCTAACCCAAACACAGCTCATCAGCGCGGCTCTAACCCAAACACAGCTCGTCAGTGCTGCTCTAACCCAAACACAGCTCATCAGCGCGGCTCTAACCCAAACACAGCTCATCAGCGCGGCTCTAACCCAAACACAGCTCATCAGTGCGGCTCTAACCCAAACACAGCTCTAACCCAAACACAGCTCATCAGTGCGGCTCTAACCCGAACACAGCTCGTCAGCGCGGCTCTAACCCAAACACAGCTCATCAGCGCGGCTCTAACCCAAACACAGCTCATCAGTGCGGCTCTAACCCAAACACAGCTCGTCAGCGCGGCTCTAACCCAAACACAGCTCATCAGCGCGGCTCTAACCCAAACACAGCTCATCAGTGCGGCTCTAACCCAAACACAGCTAATCAGCGCGCCTCTAACCCAAACACAGCTCATCAGTGCGGCTCTAACCCAAACACAGCTCATCAGCGCTGCTCTAACCCAAACACAGCTCATCAGCGCGCCTCTAACCCAAACACAGCTCATCAGCGCGGCTCTAACCCAAACACAGCTCATCAGCGCAGCTCTAACCCAAACACAGCTCATCAGCGCGGCTCTAACCCAAACACAGCTCATCAGCGCGGCTCTAACCCAAGCACAGCTCATCAGCGCGGCTCTAACCCAAACACAGCTCATCAGCGCGGCTCTAACCCAAACACAGCTCATCAGCGCGGTTCTAACCCAAACACAGCTCATCAGCGCGGCTCTAACCCAAACACAGCTCATCAGCGCGGCTCTAACCCAAACACAGCTCATCAGTGCGGCTCTAACCCAAACACAGCTCATCAGCGCAGCTCTAACCCAAACACAGCTCATCAGCGCTGCTCTAACCCAAACACAGCTCATCAGCGCGGCTCTAACCCAAACACAGCTCATCAGCGCGGCTCTAACCCAAACACAGCTCATCAGCGCGGCTCTAACCCAAACACAGCTCATCAGCGCGGCTCTAACCCAAACACAGCTCATCAGTGCGGCTCTAACCCAAACACAGCTCATCAGTGCGGCTCTAACCCAAACACAGCTCATCAGTGCGGCTCTAACCCAAACACAGCTCATCAGTGCGGCTCTAACCCAAACACAGCTCATCAGTGCGGCTCTAACCCAAACACAGCTCATCAGTGCAGCTCTAACCCAAACACAGCTCATCAGTGCTGCTCTAACCCAAACACAGCTCATCAGCGCGGCTCTAACCCAAACACAGCTCATCAGTGCAGCTCTAACCCAAACACAGCTCATCAGTGCTGCTCTAACCCAAACACAGCTCATCAGCGCGGCTCTAACCCAAACACAGCTCATCAGTGCTGCTCTAACCCAAACACAGCTCATCAGCGCGGCTCTAACCCAAACACAGCTCATCAGTGCAGCTCTAACCCAAACACAGCTCATCAGTGCAGCTCTAACCCAAACACAGCTCATCAGCGCGGCTCTAACCCAAACACAGCTCATCAGCGCGGCTCTAACCCAAACACAGCTCATCAGTGCGGCTCTAACCCAAACACAGCTCATCAGTGCGGCTCTAACCCAAACACAGCTCATCAGTGCGGCTCTAACCCAAACACAGCTCATCAGTGCGGCTCTAACCCAAACACAGCTCATCAGCGCGGCTCTAACCCAAACACAGCTCATCAGCGCGGCTCTAACCCAAACACAGCTCATCAGCGCGGCTCTAACCCAAACACAGCTCATCAGCGCGGCTCTAACCCAAACACAGCTCATCAGCGCGGCTCTAACCCAAACACAGCTCATCAGCGCGGCTCTAACCCAAACACAGCTCATCAGTGCAGCTCTAACCCAAACACAGCTCATCAGTGCAGCTCTAACCCAAACACAGCTCATCAGTGCTGCTCTAACCCAAACACAGCTCATCAGTGCGGCTCTAACCCAAACACAGCTCATCAGTGCAGCTCTAACCCAAACACAGCTCATCAGTGCTGCTCTAACCCAAACACAGCTCATCAGCGCGGCTCTAACCCAAACACAGCTCATCAGTGCTGCTCTAACCCAAACACAGCTCATCAGTGCAGCTCTAACCCAAACACAGCTCATCAGTGCTGCTCTAACCCAAACACAGCTCATCAGCGCGGCTCTAACCCAAACACAGCTCATCAGCGCGGCTCTAACCCAAACACAGCTCATCAGCGCGGCTCTAACCCAAACACAGCTCATCAGCGCGGCTCTAACCCAAACACAGCTCATCAGCGCGGCTCTAACCCAAACACAGCTCATCAGCGCGGCTCTAACCCAAACACAGCTCATCAGCGCGGCTCTAACCCAAACACAGCTCATCAGCGCGGCTCTAACCCAAACACAGCTCATCAGCGCGGCTCTAACCCAAACACAGCTCATCAGCGCGGCTCTAACCCAAACACAGCTCATCAGTGCAGCTCTAACCCAAACACAGCTCATCAGTGCTGCTCTAACCCAAACACAGCTCATCAGTGCAGCTCTAACCCAAACACAGCTCATCAGTGCTGCTCTAACCCAAACACAGCTCATCAGCGCGGCTCTAACCCAAACACAGCTCATCAGCGCTGCTCTAACCCAAACACAGCTCATCAGTGCGGCTCTAACCCAAACACAGCTCTAACCCAAACACAGCTCATCAGTGCGGCTCTAACCCAAACACAGCTCATCAGCGCGGCTCTAACCCAAACACAGCTCATCAGCGCGGTTCTAACCCAAACACAGCTCATCAGCGCGGCTCTAACCCAAACACAGCTCATCAGCGCGGCTCTAACCCAAACACAGCTCATCAGTGCGGCTCTAACCCAAACACAGCTCATCAGCGCAGCTCTAACCCAAACACAGCTCATCAGCGCTGCTCTAACCCAAACACAGCTCATCAGCGCGGCTCTAACCCAAACACAGCTCATCAGTGCGGCTCTAACCCAAACACAGCTCATCAGCGCGGCTCTAACCCAAACACAGCTCATCAGCGCGGCTCTAACCCAAACACAGCTCATCAGCGCGGCTCTAACCCAAACACAGCTCATCAGTGCGGCTCTAACCCAAACACAGCTCATCAGTGCGGCTCTAACCCAAACACAGCTCATCAGTGCGGCTCTAACCCAAACACAGCTCATCAGTGCGGCTCTAACCCAAACACAGCTCATCAGTGCGGCTCTAACCCAAACACAGCTCATCAGTGCAGCTCTAACCCAAACACAGCTCATCAGTGCTGCTCTAACCCAAACACAGCTCATCAGCGCGGCTCTAACCCAAACACAGCTCATCAGTGCAGCTCTAACCCAAACACAGCTCATCAGTGCGGCTCTAACCCAAACACAGCTCATCAGCGCGGCTCTAACCCAAACACAGCTCATCAGTGCTGCTCTAACCCAAACACAGCTCATCAGCGCGGCTCTAACCCAAACACAGCTCATCAGTGCAGCTCTAACCCAAACACAGCTCATCAGTGCGGCTCTAACCCAAACACAGCTCATCAGCGCGGCTCTAACCCAAACACAGCTCATCAGTGCGGCTCTAACCCAAACACAGCTCATCAGTGCGGCTCTAACCCAAACACAGCTCATCAGTGCGGCTCTAACCCAAACACAGCTCATCAGTGCGGCTCTAACCCAAACACAGCTCATCAGTGCGGCTCTAACCCAAACACAGCTCATCAGCGCGGCTCTAACCCAAACACAGCTCATCAGCGCGGCTCTAACCCAAACACAGCTCATCAGCGCGGCTCTAACCCAAACACAGCTCATCAGCGCGGCTCTAACCCAAACACAGCTCATCAGCGCGGCTCTAACCCAAACACAGCTCATCAGTGCAGCTCTAACCCAAACACAGCTCATCAGTGCAGCTCTAACCCAAACACAGCTCATCAGTGCTGCTCTAACCCAAACACAGCTCATCAGTGCGGCTCTAACCCAAACACAGCTCATCAGTGCAGCTCTAACCCAAACACAGCTCATCAGTGCTGCTCTAACCCAAACACAGCTCATCAGCGCGGCTCTAACCCAAACACAGCTCATCAGTGCTGCTCTAACCCAAACACAGCT